GCCGCCAGCCACGGTGCAAAGCAGTTGGTGGAGGGGTTGATTATTTTGAGTTGGTGCCGGTGCATGGGGCGGGGAGGGGGCAACACTATTGGCAGTAGAACCCTCAGGATGGACTGGATGCAGGAGACAAGGAGAGGAAGTGGCATTCCTCTTGGATGCGCAGCTGAATCGAAGTGGGAATGCAGAAAATTGTGTTGTGAGAGCATTTATTCTTCCGTGAACCTGCTTCACTGATGTATAAGTTCCACTGAGAGGGTGGGTGGTGAGGAAGGCAGTGTCGGGAGTCATGTTGCTGGTCTGAGCCTGCCTGCCTGTCTTCTCATTTGCAATGTAAGAAATGACCATGAAGACTCTTTCAGCTCCAGATTACAACTGCAAAGCCCTTGATTAGGGCCCTGTTTTACAGCTGATTTTTATGTCACTCATATTTCTATATGTTGAAAAGTCTCCTGAATTGCCACATCCATCAAAAAACCCTTCTCATTATATAAGATAGGCTGTATTTGAATGCAAGCAATAACACCCACATACCCTAAACCAAAGGGCTTAAGCAACAAATTGGGTTATTGCTCATGAGATTTATCAGGGATGAAAAAATACCACTTCTCCACTACTCTCTTAAGTTTCTATCTGGGGTGTGTGAATTAAACTGCAGGAAGAAAGATTAACAGGAGAAAGGCCTTATTTTCTCTGCACATGGGGGGCATCACAGAAAAGAAATGAAAAATCCCCCAACGTGTTCAGACCTGGGAGCTTACATACTGTTTTAACAAAGGGTGATAAAATGCAGAGAAGTGACTGGACAAAGGAAAAGGACTTGGGTTCCCAGGGATAGTAGATTGTGGGAAAGTAAATACATGAGGGAAACTAATGGAAGATGAGGGTTTTTTGGTTTTTTTGTGTTTTTGTTTTTTTAGTAAGTTTTGCTGACTCTCTCTTTCCAGTAAGGACTGCTTTTCTGATGGTATAGGAGAGGAGAGAAGAAACACCTTCACAAAAGGAAATTTGTGTCCTGCTTTTAGGCGGGTGGGGGAGGGTAGGGGGCTCTTTCTGTGTTTGCTTCTTCTTAATTGTCCTCAGCTTAAAAGAAGTCTTATGTCAAAGCGACATATTTTGGGGTGGCATATCCTGATCCTCTTAGTCAACAAGTGGTTCTGCTTGTCTGGATGGATTCCGTCACCCTGGGATGCCCTCACTCATGCATCTGTGATCAGCTAGTGAGTTGGCTGGGGTGGGCTGGTGCCAGGGGACCCCACTCCCAAGTCTGGTGGTTGGCTGCCTGTTGGCTGTGGCACTGGGTTTGACTGGGTCAAGCCATCCTTAAGCAGGCCAGCCTGGGCTTGCTCACATGACAGCATCAGGGTCCCTTGGGTGAGTGGAAGCATGCAAGGCCTTCAGACACCTAGGTTTGAAAGTGACAAAGTTAATTCTGTGGCATTCTATGAGTCAGAGCAAGATACAAGGGCAGCCATACTAGAGAGGTAGAGAAACGGACACTGCCCCTGATTGAGGGTAGCTGCAACCTGCCGTTGCAAGGTCCAAATGCAGGTGGGGAAGCATTTATAACTGTCTTTAAATCTGTCACACTGTTTTAGGTAAGGAGGCTTTCTCACTCTTCCTGCAGCAAGACCTCCACTTTCCCAACTCTGAACATTTTGTTCCAGGTATTTTCTCTGGCTTAGAAATCAGCTCTTCACCCATCTTGGGGTTCAAATTCCACCCATCCCTTTGCAAGGCCCATCTCCAAAACTAATTCATCTACAAGACATCTCCCCATCCCTTCAACTAAATGTGGCATCTGACTCTGAAGGGTTGAAATGTTGCCACAGACTCTACAAAGTCTGTCGATTCTGAACTATTTGTAACCATAGGTACAGTTATATGCAGTTGAAACAATCTTTTTTTCATCTTAGTATATAAAATGACTATGATTTAGGGTGATAGTTTCCATTAAATTGAATCTTCTGTGATTTCTTCATTCACTTCTGCTATAAAAGAGAGCTGGGATCCACAGCTACCTGCCTATAGATTTGTAGCAAAATTTCTATGTATGACTTTTGTGATTATCTTTGCTGTTACTTAGTAGCTCAGGTTTTACAATCCGGCTCCAAAGCACACTTTTTCAAATTATCTTTGCTTTTAATGTTTAGTATTTTAGGAGATCCTAAATTTACCTTTACATTTTATGACTTAGAAAATGAAAACGGTTCTGGGTTTGGATTTGATATCTATAATTTCTATCTCTGATTCTATCAGGCAATTGTTTGAAAACCAGAATCCTTTTTTTCATTTATTGGCTCACTGTTTAGCTCCTGAATTCAACTTAAGTCCCATGGTGTAAGACAACCCTATGAGGAGATATTAAGCGTACTGTGTGATAGAATGCTTGAGGTCGGTACTTTTAGCACACAGGAAAACAGATGGGTTTCTGAGATGTCAGTTGTATCCTATGTTCCAATTTAAGTGTGCCAGTCTGCTGCTTATCAAGGTTTTTTAAAAGTCATGTTTGTGAGAGAGTAAATCAATTTTATTCCTCAGAGGCTAGGGGAAGAAATACATCGCTGTATATATAGCTGATAGGGATATTGTTTTTTTTTTTTTTTGTTTGTTTGTTTGTTTTCTGATGATGGTATTTCAAGATGATTCGAATATTTGTAGGCAGAGTGAACATTCTATTCTAGTGCTATCTCACTTTGAAATGAAGAAGCTAAGACTCAGGGAGTTTCAATCACTCACAACTATTTGGCAGTACAGAGATTGCTAAACATCAGAAAAAAAATAAATGAAGACTCAAATAAACTACATCAAAACAAGCAAAGTACCTCTTTTCCCAACTCCCCATTGTCCCTCTGTGAGTTGGAGCTTCACTGCCACCTAGTCAAAACCTCTATGCCAGATGTGTGGGGTCTAGTGTGTCTGCGATGCTCTGTGTCAAATGGCAAGGTCATGGGAGGTCAGGGGCTTATAGGCGTGTGTAGGCTGCTGAAAAGAAGCTAACGAACGAAATAATGAATTAAACCTCACCACTAACCAACCAACCAACCAACCAACCAACCAACCAACCAACCAATAAAACCCCAGGCACAGAAAATCGCTTTATGAGTAAGCTAGAGCTCCTCCTATAAAGTTCAATTCGTTGTCTTTAAGAATTGAGCTGGCATTGCCGGGGGTGGGCCAGTCGGGTGTTCGGTGCGCCCAGACCCGGGAGCGTGGTCGCGAACATGGGTGGCGGTGATTCGCTCCAGGGTCGGGCTGCACGCCCCCCACCCACCCCTGCGAATTGGGCACGCGCTGTTTGTCCCCGCTCAGCTCCCTTATAAGGCGGACCCCGCCCCTGCCCGGGGCGGCGGGGGCGGTGCGCCGGCTCCCTGGCCGCGCCTCCAAGCAGCCCGCCGCTACTGCGCATGTTTCGCGCGGCCCGGTCCAGCTTCCGGCGGTCCTTGTTTTCTTGCAGCCAGCAGTGGTGAAATCTGCACCCAGCTCTGCTCGCTCAAGTGGGAAAAACCCTGGGTTTTCAGCGCTCTGGAAAACAAATGGGATGCTGATTCCGGGCTAGCCGCGGGGCTCTAGGGAAGCAGAAGTAATGATTCCTTAATCTGAGTGGGTCACGTTTGCTGACATCATCTCACTTAATGCATTAATCAACTCCAGGGAGTTGTTTCCGATTTGCCTTCAGGCAAAAAGCCTCAGAGGTGCCTAGTAATGCAGACTGCAGGACGCCCAAGACTAGTGTAGGAGCTGGGGCTCAAATCTAGCAGCCCGGTGTCCACTCCCTAAGGCCTCTGTTACAGCTTGGCTTCCTGGACGAGCAGTCCCTCTTGCCTGGCCCTGGTCCCTTCATCTGAACAGAAAGCCACTGCTCCAGACACTCAGACACCCTGGGAGTGTGAAATACCCGCAGGGAGGGAGAGGGGTGAGGGCAGAGCTTCCCTTCTCAGCCCTAGGGGGACTCCAGAGCCTGGTGGATCTCGAGGACCTGCTACAGTGGGCCTGCCAGATCCTGACCATCAGCTGCCCTAAGGGGCAGGAAGGGAGGGGTCCTGGAGCTGGGCTGGGGTGGGCTGAGCGGCTCTGAATGGGGCAGTAGGAGGAAGGCCGAACTCAGGTCTTGGCTGTGGTCACAGGTGGCTTCCTGGGTGTGTGTGAAGGAATATGTGAATGCATAGCTGAATGAATGAATTTATATTCTTCGGGAGAGGGCAACGGGGAGAGGAGGACTCAGGAAAAAAGGCTGGGTCAGGCCTCACTTCTTATGCCCTAAGCTTTAAAGAGAGGGTCGTTTTCACGCCTATGTTATGATTAAAACTGAACTACTAAACTGTAACAAATGCAAAAAAGTCCAATGAAGATCTGATTTCAGTCAGTGTAGCCATTCTCGCCAGCAGTTTAAAAACATCTAGTACCCTTTTTATTTTCATTTCTCGTCATCCCTGAATTGAGCGGTCCAAAACACACCCCTTGGTTGGGTAGTCTTAGAGCAGCAGAGAAGTACCTAGTGGGACAACCCACAAACAAGTATGATAATCTCTGCGCCTCAGATTCTTGTTCTGTAAATTGGATGAGCTAACTCTTGCACAATGGGGTAAAACCAGGTCTTGTTATGGGTTGACACACTGTTTTCGGTCATCTGGGCCCCAGGACTGAGGTCTTCGCTCTGGCTCTAAGTTACTGCGACCCCTTCCCTTTCTTCCTCCTCCCTAGGTTTTCAGGTGATAAGGCTGGGTTGTAGCTTTCCTGAAATCACTCCTCTCCGGTAACCCTGGGTGACTTACAGGCCACCGCCTGCGCGGAGGCTCTTCCTGACTAGGCGACCTTAGGTGGCGGTGTTCGGGCATCCCGACCCCGCCCCTCTTCGCCGCCCGGCCGCAGCCAAACCCCGGCGCGAGGATCACGCGGGCCGGAGTCGCTCTGGGCATGCTCAGTGGCCCGGCAGGTGGGGCCGCCGCGGGACGCCCAGTCCGGCCTGGAGCGGAGGGGCGGGGGTAGAGAGAGGGAAGTGGGCGGGAGCGGAGGGCAGAGTCGCTAGAGTAGCCGGCTGCCGTGGGGCGCTGGGCAGGTGGGAGCCCGCGTGGGCCAGGCCGGGATGAGCGATGGCATCGGTCAAGGTGGCCGTGAGGGTCCGGCCCATGAATCGCAGGTGAGTTGGGGGAGGCCTTAGGCGGCCCCCCGATGCGCCCCCACTCGGATGAGCCTCGTCTCCAAGTCCCTTCGAAGGGCAGCCTGGACCTAAGTGTCACGGGACGGTCTGCGGCCCACTGCTCCCTGGCTGTGGCCTCTGGGGGCCTGGAGCACTTCATGCTTTGCTGTCCCTTTTACCCTGTCCTGTTGGGGACCCTGGGGGTACGGAGTTCACGAAGCCACGTAGAAGATTCCTGCCATATTAACTTGTGGAGGTTTGCGTGCCGGGGGGGGGCCGGCCGCGGCGCGGCAAGGGATCACTTTCATGAAGGCGTAGCCTCCTTTGGGGGGAATATGAGAGTGGTTATGGGACACCTCAGCTGTCAGAGGAGCTCTCCTCAACTCTGTCAACTCAGAAGTTCTCTAGTAACAGTAATGTTACTGTTTAATTTCTCAGTGAGCGAGGATTTCGAGTCCCTGAATTGGAACCCTAACTTCTAATCAGTAACTTAGCAATTCTTAACTTCACGTTCAAGAGTGTATGGGAAACTTTAGCAAAGTTTTGACTTCAGAGGGGGAAAAAAATCAAGGACACTTAGGCACACGTGTTTGAAATCCTCTGGTGTTAACAGAGGGGAAGAGCTATAAACACATTTAGAATTTAATCTTGTATTTTTCAACAAAGTAATGCTTTTCAGAATGATTTGACTCTTTATTCACTGAAAAAACAATCTGTGCTTGCTTCTCAATGACCTCTTTATAATCAGTTTAGGAAGATGCTTTAGAAGAGTTTTTAAATTGGTTTAACTTTAAAGAATGAAGTAGACGTAAATGGTATGTGTCCTTCTGAATTGACAGGCCAAGTTCACACAAGGCCATTTGTTTTTATTGGCTTCTCAGTCAAGTTGTTGGACATTTGACTTACCATATGGCTTTTCCACTTTCTAATGTCAACTTGTGGAGGTCATTGTTTGGTGGTTCTGACAGCTGTTTGGGGCATCAGAGGATCATAAAATCAAGTGATTGCCAGAATCTTCCTCGACTCACCCGAATCTCCCTTTTTCTCTTGGCAAATAGGGAATCATTCTGGGTTGTAGCTATTGTAAACCAGTGCTTTTGTCATTTTTAAGTTACTTGTAAAGCTTTTTAGGGAAGGAGTTTGACTTTTTTGTAAGTCTGAAGAGAATATGGATGTTTTTCTGTGTATTCAGTCATACAGGACAGATTCCTAAGTCATTTAGACCATTTAAAAAGATTTTTCTTTATTCTGGATTTACATGTATAAAGAAGTTCCTCTCGCTCTTTGGAATAACATGAACACATGCTAGAAGATTGTATTGAGTAACTTTAGAAAGCACCTGCCAAATGCAAGGCACTGTCCTGAGTGCTATCTGGGGAACAAGGTGAATAAGGTGTTTTTTATTTTTTTAATAAGGTGAATGAGTTTGTTTTTTTAAATTTTTTAATGTTTATTTTTGAGAGAGAGAGTATGAGTGGGGGAAGGGGCAAAGAGAGAGAGACAGAGAGAGAGACAGAGAGGGAGACACTGAATCTGAAGCAGGCTCCAGGCTCTGAGCTGTCAGCAAAGAGCCTGACAAGGGGCCCCAAACTCATGAACTGCAAGATCATGACCTGAGCCAGTCAATCGCTTAACCGACTGAGCCACCCAGGTGCCCCTAAGGTGAATGAGGTTTGATGAATGTCTTCTTAAGAGCCTACTGTCTGATGGGGTAGGGACTACACCCTGGCAGGACTCTCCTAAAACATGGGGCTGGTTGGGAGGGATGGTGCAGGTGCAGTCCTTTGCCAGTGTAGGCCTGGAGCCAGTTACATGGAGTGGCTGCAGGAAACATCCAAAGTCATGTGATTTGAGGAGGTAGATTGAAGTGGTGGTATTTATGCTTTCAGCAGAGAACTCTGGTGGTGGTATCAGGATTAGGGCAAGAGGTAAGGAAGTAGTGGTCTGAACCAAAGGCAGAAATGGGAAGGCTGGGTATGTACACCAAGACAGTTTACTGGCAGAATCGACAGGATTTGGCAGGTCCTTGGATGGGAAGGAGGAGGACGGGGAAGAACAGAGAACCGTTAACTGAAGTTTGATGGTCAAGGAGGTAGAAGAGGTTTGGGGAAGGTGTGTAATGAGGTTGGTATATAACCTTTTGGAAACGGGATACAGTGTGTCAAGTACAAGCACCGTGTGGGCACAGAGTGAGTGCTGCCCTCGTGTTGACCCTGTTGTGTGGGAAGGGCATCTGTCTCTTTGGTGGCGTTCGCTAGACTTTTAGAAACATGGGTTTATGTCTCAGGTGATTTGAAGACTGACATTTGGAAATCTTTTGCACATGGAGGACAATTTAAGAGTATTACAGTGAGATTTCTCAGGAGGAGAAAATCTTATCTTTATAAAGCATATATATATATATATATGCACATATATATGCATGCATACACGCATATACATATACTTATGTGTGTATATCTATCTATCTATATATATAGATATATATATCTATATATATAGCAGGTTACAAAAATAACGTTACAGTAAGAAGAAAAGGATTGGATACTGGGATATGCTTTTCTTTAGGATTCTAGGGAGAAGATTGGCTTGCCCCTCATGAAGCAGAATTAGCATAGCAAATTGTCATAACAGAGAAAGGAGAAGTGTCTCTTGAAGGAGGTGATGGTTTTTGCTGTCAGATGTTGCCAAGATGGTGCCCTGAGGATGTGAGTAAGATGAGGTCCTTGGTCTTGGAGACAGGAGCCTTGGTAACCTTCCAAAAGGCAGTTTCAAGGAGAGACAATGATCCAGAAGTTGGACATGAAATGGAAAGAGATGTACAAATGGCCGAGCAGAAGTACTTGACCTAAACATGCAAATTATAATAGCAGTAAGAAACTATTGTTTATCAGTGAGCTTGGTGGACCTTAACTGAACATCAGGTGCTGGTGAAAGTGGTGATGAAATCATAGGGGGTCAAAACGCCTGAACACTTTCTTAGTGGGAATTTGACGGTAGCTATCAAGATTGGAATTTAATAAATCCACTGATTGGACAGTTTCATTTATAAAGATTTTATTTTATGGATTATATTTCTGTCTACCAAGACGTATGTGTAAGGATGCAGGTAGGGATGTAGGTGCAGATGTAAAATTTTTGTTTTGTTAATCTTCAGAGGAGATTTAGGCAAAGAGGAAGCAATCGACAGAAAGCAAAGGCCTGAGGTTTTGGGAGGTGAGGATCGCTCTTGGAGCTTGGCTCTGAAAGGATGGAGGCATGGCAGGGGGATGCTGACTTTCTGAGCCAGGAGCCTTTGCAGTAACTAGTCCTTGCGAACAAGCACCCAGTGCTTGATTCAGGCTAAGATGCAGTGCCTTTGTTTTTACTTTGGTGGGGCAGAAGTAGTAGTTTCAGGTTTGAAAGAACTGTTATTTTGCATCACATAACAGCAGCTACTTTATGTGAGAGTTTGCTCTGTGGCAGTGGTACAAAATCTAATTTAATCTTTGTTACAGTCTTAGTAGGTACAGACTATTATTGTCGTGCCATTGTACAGATTGGGAAACATAGTTAACTTGCTCGAAGTCAGTTTTCTTTTTCTTTTCTCTTCTTTCTTTTAATATTTATTTAGTTTGAGAGGGACAGAGGGAGCGAGAGTGAGAGAGAGAATCCCAAGCAGACTCTGCGCTGTCAGTGCAAAGCTGAGGTGGGGCCTGAACTAATGAAATGTGAGATCATGACCTGAGCTGAAATCCAGAGTCTATGCTTCACTGACAGAGCCACCCAGGCACCCTGCCTGAAATCAGTTTCGGAGGGCAGTCAGCCCTGTACTTTTTGAAAATGAGTAAAATTTTTGCAGAAACTTAATTTGTTCATTGCTTTTATGGGCAAAAGTTTAACATTTATGTATCGTCTTTTTATGCCTTATGTACGTATGTCTTATGCATGCCTTTTTCTTTGTGATATCTCCCATTGTTCTTAGGCCCGGCCTTTTCTTTTTTATCGGTTTCATGTTTTACAATTTTACAAGATACTTCTTTTCCCTTCTGAAGAGAACAAAATAATGATTTGGTAACTAATTCGTTCATTTCCTTTTGTTTTCAGTTGTTTGCTTTTTTTTTGCAGAAACACTAGGTGATTCTTTTGCACCATCTATCCTGTCCCATTGATTTGCCAGTGTTGATGGGGCTGGGGTCTGAGGGCAGACTGCGTGGGTCCCAGTTTTGGCTGTCATTTACAAGCTGGGTAAATTTGAGCAAGACACTTAATTGTTTTAAACCTCAGTTTTCGCAACTGTGAAATGGTGATTGTAATTGTACAGGCCTTATAGATTGTGAGGCAAGGTCTTTTTTATGTATTTTGTTACTGTGATTGACAAGATGACACATTTGAAATTGAAGTTCTGTAAATACGTAAAAGATTCGTGAGGTGTTACATGCAGTTCCCTCATATTTTCTGTCCTGTCCTATTTTATTCTATTGTCTTGTTAAAAAGAATGCTATTTCTAGATCCACTAGATTGACTTCCAAGATCTATTAATGAGTTGCAGTTGTCAGTCTGAAAAACAACCGTCGTGGGGTTCAAATGAGATCATGCATGTGGATAAAGCCCTCCACACAGTGCCTGGCATGCAGCAAGGGCTCTGTAAGGATCAGTTATTGTTATTGCTGTTGTTTTCACATTTTAATGATGGCAACTTTAATAGTAAGTTTTTGAAATTTTTTTTGCCAAAAAAAATTTGCGAGTGCTGGCAACATGCCAAGTGATAGCTTTTTAACGTGCTTTCTTATCTAATGAGGCAAGACCCCCCCCTCAGTCCTTCCCTTTTCTGACTGTTCTTAGCTTTCTTTCCGGATTAGCCTCTCAGGTGGACCCTACAGTCATGTCTATCAAGTTAAAAAGAGAAGAAGAAAAACTGTCAGTGGTATTTTGGGATTGACAGCTTTAGGGTGTACTAAAGTCTTATTTTACGAGTGTCAGGGTGGTCTCTTGGATCTGTGATGAAGACAACAGATGGC